CCTGAGCCTCCCTGTCACTCAGCCCTAGCAGAAGAGCTCTCCTGACCTAAAGTGACCACCTCAGGGACACAAACCCCCTTGGGAGGTGACATGTGCCAGTGGAATTGTTTGAACAAAATGACCTCACAGACTGGTGGCAAAGGCAGGAGCAGAGCCCCCATCATCAACCCAAGGCCTGGCCTTGCCACCTACTGCCTTTCTGAAGGAGCTCCTTGATGCTCTTCAGCGCCTGGCACAGAAGAAACAAAGTCAGCATGAGTGCCAGCAGGTACACCTGGAGGCACACAGGACATGAGAGAGGAAACCTCCTCCAAATAACATTTTTCTTCACCCAAGGTAAGGTGACAGAAGATCCTGTATATAAAAGTCCAAAGGGAAGGGGCATCACCCATGACGGATCTGCTGTACTCTGCAGAAGGTCTGGCTACTGGTGCATTGCAGCTGTTTGGGTGCTCTGCTTCCATTAAGTGGAAAATCATGCCCTATACCTAACCCTTCCCATCCTCTCAGGGACATACCGGTTCTGCACCTTATGTTTTCAGCCATCCTGAATGTCTCTTCTGAGCACTGTGATTAGAGGACAGCATCACCAATGCCTTTTGTATAGAAAAGCTTTGATGGAAAACCAGGAACTACCAAAATCCCAGTCTGCCACTGGCACAGAATAACCTGTCCAGATGGCAGCCATAGCCAGAGATGTTTTAGGCATTGCCAAATGCCTAAAATTGCCAATTGCTCTCCACTTGTAGATGGGGACAACTTACAGCCCTCACAGCTGAGAATCCCACCCTGAATGTGCTCCTGGTCTGTTCACTGCTATCAGTGCCTCTTCAGAGCCCAGAGAAGAGGCAATAGCCTGTAGGCATCTCACTTAACTTCAACCATCTGAAGATTAGGCACCAAGTAGAAACTAGATATCAAACAGAGAGCAATGTGTTTCCAGAAGTAATTCACCCCACCTACCATTGACTACCATTTTCCATGGGCTGTGATCTCTGTTGCTCCATTGACCATGGAGCACCTGAGGTTATCTAAGTAGGATTAAGACAGCTACAATCAGGTGATGTGGAACCCATGCTGTTAGTATATTGTTAGTAAATTTGGCACATTTCTAGAAATCCTCTCCATCTCCAGCATCAGACCAACCTCCAGTTCTGGGCAGCAGCCACCTTGAATTTTCTCCAGTAAAACTGGCTGGTCATAGAGAGATCTGTCTTGAAAAGGGGTCATGAATCCAGCAGCAAAATGCATTCTTTCACTAGTTCTGCCACTGAATCACACTGTAAGCCAGCTCTTATCCATCTTCTGCCTCCTTCAAATCTGATGAAATCAATATTAACTAACCCACCTCGTCCCTATTTGCATTGCTGTGACTGCTGGTCACAATGTACAGATGAGACACAGGTGATGGAAGAGCTCAGCATTTAAGAACCTTAAAGACATAAAGGAAAAGTGACAGAGGGAATCAAATCATTTACCACAAATCAGCAGGCCTGTGACAAAGCTGGGCCTCCAGAAACACAGCATCCAGGCTTCCAGGATCCCAACACTTACATGATATTTCCTGGTCATCAGTGGAGGGAGAAGGTTTAGTCCTTACAGCATGTTTTGATAGCTATGTCTGGGAAGAGAAAGGGAAGGAAGCAGTCTTATGGATGGGTTCCCAATCTCTATCACAGAGGTCAGCATGAATTTGAAAGAAAGCAACTCCTATCAAGGATCCTCACCAGGGCTGGTTTTAGGCTGGGAGACAAAGCTGCCTGGTGGCTATTTACTGGTCCTTCCATTACAGCAAGGGCCTCTTGTTGTGGAAGAAAAATTAGGTCACGGCTTTCTCATGCTGCTCCAGTGGTTATAGCCAGCCATGGGGACCACTTTGTCCAGAGAGGGTTGTTTGGGGCAGCCAGTGAGTAAACTGTAAATGGGACAACCAGCTATCTCCCAGCAAGAACTGTCCACAGAGGCACTTTGCAAAAGCAGTTTATGAATCAGATTTTACTAATGGAAATTCAAATATTAAAGTGAGAAGGGCAAGAATGCACTTCTGTCCTCCACCAAAAATAAGCAAAACCTCCCTCCTTAAGAGGAGCCTTCCTTGGCTCTGTGTTTGCTCCCGGTGAAGATAACCTCTCCCATCTTGCAGCCCTAACAAATCTTCTCCATGTAGGGAAGAGGGGAGAAGGAGATGAATAGCAAGACAAGTAACACACAGGGCATTTAAGACATTTGAGGATTGTGCTGCAGCATTCTACCCGCCTTCCCGTCTGCCTGGATCCCTCCAAACCTCCTCTCCTTACCCCTGATTTCTTTACATAGATGTCTTTGGGGTGGAAGCACCCTGGACATGCCTTTTTTTGAACAGAGAAGAGCACAGCTGTTCCCTCTTGTGACTAACTGCAGAGCGAAGCAGTCATGTTTCTAAATGCAGCTCTATTTGCACACTCAAGTGGGCCCTGAAGATGCCAGCTGGGCCATCCCCGTGAGTAAGCAAGACCAGAGCAGCTTGCCATGGCTTCATAAGGCACTCCAACCCCTGACTTTGGGGTCAGCTTCATGTCCTCCCGTCCCCTTTTCCCAAGCCAGTTCTTCTAATGAAGCTACCCATCCCCTTTTGCAGTAGGCTTATGGGCTGGAGGAATCAGCCCCACAACTGCAAGCATGGTCAAGGTTTTATCCTCCCATTTGATGGTGATGGACCTTCACTTCCCCAAGAAGTCAAGAAGCAAAACAGGCAATTACTTCGCTGGTGTAAGGCTGGGCACAGTGGAAGGTCTGTGCAAGGCAGGTCCCAGCTCCACCAGGAGTACAACTTGGTGTCTACCACTGAGGATCCACAACCCTGCACTCAAAACTTCTCCACGGGCACCGATGAGCAATGCCAAGAGTAAAGAAGCCAAGGCGATGCTGCGGTCACCCAGCTGAGGGCCAGATCCTGCCCATTGTGATACATCTGAAGTCTGGTCCAAATGTTTGGAAGAGGTGTGAAATGGCTGGAGCTCAGCGGACCAACATGGGTGAGCTTAGCCAGGGTCTGACACCAGGCCCTAAAACCAACTGCTGGGAGAAAACGCTGCTGATTTGAGCAACCAAATGTGAGCAGTCTCATATTCTTACAGCCCATGGCAGCCTTCTTCCTGGCCCTAATGGCCTGAAAAATCTTCTCCTTGAAGGGCACTGGTTCAAAGGTAGCGTTGATAATAAATAACCAATTTACAGTAGCATCCCGAGCCCTGGGAACAGCTACCATACACCCGACTGCCTTTTTATCAGTTAATTGAAAGCCGTTGGCGTCAGAGCAAGTAGCAGTGCTGCCGGCCGAAGGAATCGATACGCTCCTGCCTGCCTGAGTGTGCTCCTACGACAAAGTGGATTATCTCCATCCTCCCCAGCCAGCAGCTGCTGCCTAAGAGGAAAAGGGAGAGTGGCTGAATTTGTACCTCCAGGTGAAGTTGCCTGGTGCTTCCTGGTGGGAGGGGCAGAGGCTCTGGGGGATGTTTAAAACTCTCCCCAGGAACAAAAGGAGGGGAGATTAGCTGGACCCCCCCAGGAGGGCCGGGTATCCTGCCCCTGCCTCCCACCCCCTCCCCGGTTTGCGGCTCGCCAGGACCCCAGCACC